CTACTGATTTTCCAGAGGAACAATAATTTACTTTGATTTAATGCAGTGAATAACATATTCAAAAGCCAAAGAATTTTATTACAGAAATTTAATGTATTCATGATTTAGTGTTAAAAGTTCACTTACAATGTCAAGAAAGATTCGAAAATAAATAAATAAATTACCTAATTTTTTTTCTATAGCACACACCTTTTAACTATTATATGTATCCTTCACGCTGCGAATGCCCCAGCCCGTACTACACCATACCCCACCCCTGGGGCATAGTAGAGCTTTTTAAGAACGAGCAATTTTTTTTATTTTAAATTTTAAATGTTTTGCACAATAATTTTTTAGCTACTCTAATCCTCATTCCTTTAAGAAATACAGCTCAATAAAGTTAGAGTGCCCTGCGTGCCCTGGTCTCCCCTACTGTAGTAGCAGACAGTTGATGTCAGTTCAGGCAAGAGCACCGGACCTGTACAGGAACTGTGCACAGCCTGAACTCACATAAGTATGCAGAAACTGCCTATCTTGCCTGTGCAGGACCTGCTAACCAGGCAGTCAGGCAAGCTACGGCGCATTTCTATTCGGGTACCGATCTAACAAGTACAAGTAGAAATATGTTGGTAAAATAAAACTCTTGTACTTATCAATTAATTGATAAAATCGTGGTAACGTAAGATCACGGTATAACATAATATTTACGAGTAAATTTATATGTATGGTGGGAAAATTTTTTTACACTTGGTCTCAATACTTTGATTTAAGCATTGTTTATTTCCATTCTTTATTTGGAAACAGTTACTATGTATACTAATGACACTGCTGTGAAACACAAATGAATTGTTACATCATCAAAACTACAGAGCAAGTACATCGTGCTTCAGCGTGCAAATATATGAAGAATGAATGAAAACATTTGAGCATAAAATACATAGGAAGACGCTTCAAGCAGCAACATCAGCAACAGTCCTGTTGCACTCGTACTCCGAGTCGCAGGGTACAAGAAGTGGTTCCTCTAAACTGTTGTTGATGCAGCTTTTATTATCCGTTGCATTCAGCTTCTCGCCGTAAGGACAGGCGCACTTGGCCTCCGATTCTCCTTCGATTCCCTTGGAACTTGGAGCGAGAAGACAAAGCTTTTCGCAGCCAAAACTCGCGCATGGCCTGCGACCGCCGCCTTCGTTAGCTTGAAAATCACGACTGAAGATGTTTAAAATGTTGTTAAAGAAAAGTGAGGATCTCGCAAAATAGATCATTTCAGCACCAGTCTTCTTATCCACTCTGACGATGTATTCCAAACTGAGAATGTAGAGGAACTTCCCCTGGACGACCAACGATTTAGAGTAGGCAAAGCTCTCTGGTAGAGTGACTGGCACTTTCTTGATGTCCGAGCCGTCCAGATCGGAGTGGTAGAATGTAAAGTTTAACTCGTAGTCGTCGGATAACTAAAAAATTCAACAAGTCGATAAATGATTGTATCTCTTAGAGCTGCTATAATCAACAATAATCTAAATTTCTGCATTACCTCTGTTTAGGTCCAGTACATCCTGTCCTCCTCGTAGTCGAGAGCAGGGCCAGTTAGTTTTTTTGTGTTTTCTATTTCAAGCACGACCATATACTCGGACCCATCCATCCCAACTCTCGTGATGGTATTACGGAGTGAATAAATAAACCATGTGTTGTAGAATAGATAGCCCCGCCGTGGATGCGCCACCACTGTCTTAATAAAACCTTTATCCGCTTGTTTCATGATGATTTTACTGTAATTAGGATTTTTCGCGCTAGTCACGCTTAGGATCGTTGCATAAGCGTAGTCAAACGAGAAGTAATATAGATTCCCGGTCATCCAATCATAGGTAAATTGATCGGCTCTGTTGCTCAGCACGTCGGAGCGCAAATCAGTCTCTTTTGTCTCCCATTTCAGGTTCAACTGGTAGAATTGGCTGTAATCGCTAGTATAAAAGAGCTGATTGTCTTTAGCATTATAGTCCAATGCAAGAAGTGAGTCCCCATAAAGTTGAGTCGTTGTAAATCCGTTGGCTAACCCCGTAGAGGATGTTGTATTGTTCAGGATATGTGTTCTAATGATACCGCTCTGCAGGAAACATCGAAAGGTAGCGTGTATTGTTTTCTTAACAACAAAAAAAAAACAAAAACAAAAAGAGAAAATTCCTACCTCGACGTACATCAGGAACTCCTGGGCCGGCCGGCAAGTCAGGCCATCGGGTGCCAACTCGGATCCAAAACTATGACAAACGCATCTGGGCTTCCGACCAACGTCGCCGGAGCGAATACATAATTCCTGGCACTTGGATTCCTCGCAGGGGTCGCTGATAGTTTCGTGGGCCTGACAGTTGCTGTTCATTCAGCCGTAACACCCGGACATCGCTTGCGTTGTTTACGTTCTCTCTACGATGTCCAGAGCCACATCATATTTGATTCTTTCATTCTCGAGAAACTCTTTAAGTTTATTATCATTACTGTTGATAATAATCTCAATAACTTCATCTAAAGAAGGGGTAATCCCTGAGTAGATTACTCGCTGGTTTTCGCCATCCAGATCAGTTCTGACAATCTGAGAATCATGTAATATGCCTTGGTTATTTGTATTTTCGTTCTGAAGATGACAATAAGTCCCTCGATATTGTAGAGCATGAAAAGGTACCCTTTGTATGGATCCAAGATGACCTTATTAACTTTTGTGGAGCCAGTTTCTATCAATGTCTGTAACCCTGTCGAAGTAAAAATTTGTACAGTAGTGGAGTACTGCTCAGCTACATAGAATTTATCACTAATCGGATCAACTGCAATGCTTTTCGGCTGCCAGGTATTCTTTTGCTTCGGTATCGCGATTTTGGATACTCCATCGTTAATGGAATATGATAAAACCTGGCGCGCTTCAAGATCAGCCCAGTAGATAGTTTTTTTCGAGTAATCGTAATACATATATTCGTGATTCATGCTGCTATTGTAGTTCATCAAAGCTTCGCGCTTTTCTCCCTCGAGGTCCGTTTTCCAAATTGTTCCTCTTTCCGCCAACAGGAGGTGGGAATCGCTTGCTGTTTGTGGACAAATTTATTTTAAATACATAAGGATGTCATTTATTGCTGAAAAAAACTACTTAGTTGAATTAAACTTACTGCATGTCTGATCACGAGTGATGTCCTGTTGCTCGCCGGCTACGGTGACGAGGAGGCACAGAAGAGCCCCGAAACCGGGAATGAACCACATACCGATTTTAAAAAATATCAGTATGTCTTTTTTTTTTACTTTGATGCGCTCGACTCTAATAACGAAGCAAAAGTCACGAATTATTATGCTCTTGCCCGGGATTTTATAGTAGATGATAGCTCAGTTCGCCTGTACCTATTTTCTTTAATCTTATCCAAGCGAGTTTCAGTATATTTATAGCTGCAACCTGTTTTTTTATAGCCCCCGAAATCACAATGTTCGTTTTATTGTTTGCTCGTATAGGGGTACTTACCCCTCTTTGGTATAATGAAATAATATTTTTTTAGAGAATCAAAATTTTTTTACTTTTGTTCGTTTATTTGGTAGCCATAAAATAAAAAGTTACTTCTTCTATGTTAATATGTGACGAAATTTGTTATCTAGTTGAAAAAAAAAGATAGTCATTAGTGAAATCATAAAAGCGTTAGAAGGTAAATTATAACTTTGTGATGTACATCTTGTGCTTATGTCATCTAAACAGCAGATCTGGGATATTCACAGTTTGAAATAACAACTTCAAATACGCTTTATAAATCTGGCAGAATATTGTGCACTTACAGGTAACTTCATCTTTTTTTATGCCAAACAAGACATCGAAAAACTTAATCAATAACCTAAATCGTTTGTTCCAAAAATGTACAGGAAATTTGATGGATCGTATAATCAATAAAAATATTTTTCCAGTTCGGGAAAACACGGTATAGGTGTGACGAATGGTGATGTTCGAACGCGCCTTGTGTTTTTTCCTTACATCCCTCTCTCGTTGAGTTTAAATGACGGAACCGAACAACAATACGCCCTTTCTATGATTGAACTGATTGAAGTCTAAAATACGTAAATATATATTTTTGTTTCGACACGTTTTCCGATGTTTACGTGTAAACAGGTGAAAGATAATATTAGATACTTAATTATTTTTAACGAAGTGACGTCGAATGGGTCAAGTATACCTACAAAATGCGCATTTTTAATGTAATAATGTTGCAATTGTTAAACCACTAAGTGACGTCATCCTAGAACGAGATTTATCTTCTGCATGTTAGAAAGAAAAGTTGAGTAAAGTTAGTACAATAGTATACGTATGTATTATTACTTTGAATTACCAGTAGTTATTTCTTGCGGATAAGTACAATGATGTGTGGAATTGTACAATTGAACCTCTGTTGCGTGTATACGTGATGACCGTATCCTGAGAAATTCATTCATATAATCAAATAAATATTATTATGATGTGTAAAATATTAATAATTATGTGAAGTCACACGTAATTCTATACTTGGAGTGCCACATGGAATTTTAGTTTAGAAATATGCCTTTACTTTCGGAATCTAGTCAAAATAGTTGAAAAATAGTTTCACACATTAATAATAATAGCCTCTTTAGTGATACTATCCATAATGTAAGTAATACCCGAAAAGGTGTGGATAGGGGTTAATGAAAAATTGCTTTAACTTCAGGAAAAAAAAGACTTATTTATCTAATACAAGTGCGTTTATGCATATATCATATGTACGAGACAAATGATTGTTCACGAATGAATATTATCTAGCATACGACCTATATGTTAAATTTGATGAAATCCATTAGTTATAAAAAGGTTATTAGTGGTAAGTGAAAATTTTATTTTCGAATTTTCTGCCAATCAAGTTATGATTAAACTCGATCAATAGTATCGAATATTGATTAATCGACTCTCTACGCCCCGTGTACACCTAACCTAAAATTTTCATCTCAGATTTACTCTCTCAGTTGTTGAGGGGAGAGTATATCGAGCAGAGATTCTGGGTGTCGAGTGTGTTAACTCCAAAATTTTCCAGCAGATATTGCAGTCAACCAGGGGGAAATGGTAAGGGGAAAAAATTAGTGTCCAAGTATTAACAATACGATTGTACTTGAAAACTCGAGACCAGCAACATCTTTGACTGGACACTTATGAGGTTAAACCTGGTCAGAGCAACATAGAAGTGCGAAACGAGGAGTTTCCGTAGCCATCGTCGTTGCGGACTTTACTGTTTCCTCTCGAGAGTACATCCGACTCGTTAAAACCGAGTCGACGTCAGCAACCGTAGAGTATGTCCGTGAATTTCGTCGAGCATAAGATTAGGCACTACCAGAGGAGTGTCGAAAGATCGCTCCATGACTCGGCTAGGGTGAGTTTCGTGCCATACGTAAATTTTTTTTATTTTATCTTAGCTTTGGCGTTTGGTTGCTGTTTTGCGTTCTCCTTGCACGTTCTCACTTTATCCATTTTTTTAGTTAAGTAAGTAATCTCGTGATTGTTGATTTCGTCGTTTAATCTTGGTTCCGAACGCACGAAATTTCAAGTCCTTTTCCAAGTCAAATTCCAACAATATTTTTCCCTTTAACTCCGAATGCACACGCTCTGGGGTCGGATTTTGTTTTTTACTTTTTGCGTAAGCAAACTGCAAATGACCGTCCTAACTAGGATAATACATTTCGAATGTATATTTTCCATTTGGAATTACCCAGCTGTTTACTTGTTTGTGTAACTTCCATATTGCTGGTACTTAAGCGATAATTTGGTTGGAAAAAAAAATAATGTAACATCTTGCTAAGCAATGGTTTGTTTGGCTTTGTTAAAATTTACAAACAACTTCTATAAGCAGATACCTTTCCACGATAAATTAAATACCTTCAATGATCGTTTATTAAAACTTTATCTCTTTTTCTTTATACGTAATATTAGGCTTGCATAAATTCATGAATATTTATGAACCAACTTTTACGTGATTCCAATTCTTTTATTTATTTATCAATATCAATTTATCCTGTTTAATTGATGCATTTTATTATGTTTCCAAAAAAAGAACATACATTTATGATTCATTCCAGCTGTTGTACTGTATTGGGCAGTTATCTAGGTTACCAGTAACAGTATTGCATTTAGAGGTAACTGGAGTTGGACGCACTGTCAACTCTTTACGTAAAATAGAGTATGGTGTGGGCGATGCCGCTAGACTTTTGGTTGCCAAATGGAAGGAGATGGTGTCAAAGTCAAGCAATGAAGAGGATGATGAAGCTTGTGTGCCAGATGTTCCGGAAAGCTACGAATCACCAGACAATGATAGCGAACCGGAAAACGCCGCTACACAAGATACATGTGATTACGTTAAAAACGAGCCAGAACAATTGATAGCACTCTCACCACCTGGTAAACTTGAAATAAACGATGAATCGTTTGATTACTTAAAAAACGATACTCTAGCTTCGATCTCTGATGAAAAGGAAGATATTAAGGATAAACATAAGAACAAATCGTCGAGTCATAGTTCAAAGCATATTTCAAAGAACTCATCAAACAAAGACAAGAAATCAAATCACAAAGATAAAAATGGCAGCAATTCTGAATTTAGGAGTAAGCAGGAATCCTCGAGAGTTTCTAAAGAGTCAGAACAAAGTACAAATAAAAACAAAATTAAAAATGAAAGTGAATCGGGTTCATCTCCATCTACATCTTCAATAAAGGATAAGAAATGTTTAGAAAATAAAAAAAGGAAAAACTATTCGAATCATGAAGATGACGATGGTAACCGAAAGAGGCTGAAAGAATCGAGCAGTGAAGAGGAAGAAGAGAGCGATAAGAATAATCTTATGATATACGATCAGGAGTCAGAACAGGAAAACGAAAATGTAGAAGAGGTTGATGAAGAAGACGACGAGGAGAAAACTACATCTTTTTACAAAGAATCGCGAAAGGAATCTAGTCGGAAAGGCACGAGCAGCCACGGTGATAAATCAAAATCGAAGGATAAACATCACAGCAGTTCCAGTCATAGATCCAAATCAAAAGAGTCCAGCGATAAATCAAAGAGGGACGAAAAACGTTCGAGCTCCAAATCGCACGAGCGCGAAAAAGATGAGAAAAACGGCAAAGAATCGTCCAAATCGAAAAAATCTCTTAGTTCCTCTAGCAGTAAGGATTATTCTAAGAATAAAGATAAAGACAAAAGTAAAAGTAAACACAGCAAAGACAAAGAATCTAGTGGCAAGGATCGAAAGAGTGAGAAAGAAAAGAGCATTGAAAAAGTCAGTAAAGATGATAAGGTCAAATCAGGAGATAATAAGGAACGCAAAGAAATTAAGGAATTGAAGGAACGCAAGACTCGACTCAAAGATAACAAGGAACACAAGAAACCAAAAGAGTCTGAGGAGAAACAGGAGCAAAAGAAGGAAAAAAGGATTTCTGTGGAAGATGAGGATGGGATCGATTGCAATTCAGGTACCAGTTTTGGTGATGCTCTAGGCATGTGTCCAATGCCTCCAAAGTCAAAGAAAAGAAAGGAAATTCCCAGTCCCTCTCCCAGTTTACAGAAGCCTTCAAAAATAGAATCAAGCTCGAGTTCGCACGGGTCTACTGCCTCTTCTTCGAAAAATAAATCATCTTCATCGAGTAAAACAAAACCAGAGCCTCCACACAGTCCAGAGGTATGATTGTGCTATAGAAAAAGCAATACACACCATGTAGGTGATACAAGCAAGTTATGACTTCAAAGTCATTAAATTTAATTTTTCTTGTGTTTCTCTTTCAGTCTCTCCCTCTTTTATCGTCCAATGTTACATTAGAGCCGCTAAGTAAATTCAAAGAGGATATTGATTTGGCATCCACCTTACCAGAACCCAGCCCACATTACCGACCGTTACCTCAAGTCAATCACATGCAACGAATGTTGGATGAAGACCAAGTGTTGGCTCAAGTAATATACGCTAAAAATCAAAGGTAAATATATTTTTGTGCGTCTACAGTAAAAATACAATTTTCTGTGCTATCATGCTTAGCGATTATTAATAAATTTGTCCGTTATGCAGGACAAAAGTTTTCTCTGGTAACAAAACTGGTTACACCACTGTGCCAACTCTGCATGAGATGTGTATTCGCGTTCTCATAGAAAATATAGATGGTAATTAATTTAAAAAAATATTACTTTCAGGTTCTTTTTTTTCTTTAATATTCATAAGAGCTGTAAATAATCCTAGTTTTTTATGTAGCTCTCGAGGTCACTGGTGGTGTTCCTTATTATATAATAAAACCTATACTTGAACGAGCATCGCCAGAACAACTTTTCATGCTCGAACATCACAATCCATATTTGACGGAAGACACGGATTCGCTGTGGCAATTCCACTGTGGTAAAGATTTTAGAACTAAAAAAAGAGAAGAAATGGAAACATGGAGAGAGATGTATCTCGTAAGCTTGTCGTATTTTTTTTTTTTTTTTTTTCGATCATCTCAGATGGTAAAAGAGAAAACGATTCTAAACATTTTATTTTTGTTTGCAGAGATGTTTGGACGAGCGAGAGGCTAAACTGAAAGCTCTAACTGCCAACATAAAACAGTCTATCGACAATTCGGCTCCTGTCAGATCAACAAAGCTTGCCTATATTGATCACATGGTCAAACCTCCGCGAAACGTATTGCGCCAGCAAGCACGGTATGGCACTGCTAACACGATGTCTAAGAGTTCCGATCTCAAGAAGAAGCTGATTATTGCTGCTGCGTCCAGTTTGGGTGTCAGTAGTTGTAGTAGCAGCATCGGCAGCATCAGTAGCAGTGGTAGCAGCAGCAGCTCGGTCGAAAGAATTTCCGTGTCAGCACCGCCACCCGTTCGAGTCAGGCATGTTGGTAAGTTAATGTGAAATTTTGTTTAAAAAAAAAAAAGGCCAATTATTGCCGAAACTTTTGAATATTTAAATGCTTATTTTCAGCAGCACCCATTAAAAAAGTAAAGGCGCCGTTGATGGCCAAGGCTCTGCAAGCGATAAAAGGTCGTTACAAACGATAGTGATGAATTTAACTGGCCTCAGGAACAAATGGAAATTAATAATGCTGGCTTAACGGAAGCCAGTCTATTTATATATGTATTTTTTATTACTTATTGTAATAATTTATTGTTGATAGAAACAGAATCGCGAAAAAAAAAAAATATTTGTCAAATATTGTTCATGACTAGACATGTAGTGTAGAATACATGCAAAGAATATCGTAACTGTTTTTCTTTTACTTTTGTTTGTAATTGAGAGTGTTTTTCATGATTATTTTATGCAGAGTGATTTTTGAATCTCCCTGTTCTCATGTATAACATCTCTGAAAGAACAATTTTACTTTTTGTTTTGAAAATTTGAGTTTTGATAGAAGTTGTGCATCTATTAATATTCCTCCACTGCAATGATTTTTTTTTTAATTTTGACAAAAAGTAACAGGTTACACACATGTTTAATAAACCAAAATTGTTTTAAAATATCAGAACATAAGTGTTTTATTAATTTTTTTAAAAAAAGAAAAATTTAATAATAAATACATTATTACATTTTTTAACAATTGTAGTAATTATTGCTTCTTTAGACTTACAAAGTCCAGTTTGCAACAAGAATTTTTTACAATTATTTCATTGAACAAATAATAGTATTATTTTGTATTTCAACATTACGCAAATGTCAAATGTGATGAGTCACCAAAATTTCTTTTATCAATTTCCAATTTTTAATTAATTATTTTACAAGAAATAGCCACATCTTGTAAACTACTAACAAAAATGAAAGTTGTAGTATCAAAAAAAAAAAAAAAAAATCGGGGACTTAATTAAACATTGACTTCCATACAAATTACTGTACATTTCAAATGAAAATACTTTTTGATCGTTACTTCCTTAGAGCTCAAGGAAAATGATTATCTACTGTTTAAATTACACAACTCAAAGAAAAACTTACTTATGGCTACCAACTCTCCCATATTTGATTATTTACAGGAAATAAGCCAGTAATGCTTACCAGCTTATTTTTTGTACATGACTTCGAGTCGAAAGTGGGTAATACGTATTAATCGGCAACACAGCGAAGCCTTTGAATAAATTTTTTCCACTTGCTCCGATGTAAACGCTTTCCTACATGTAAGTATGTACATTCTACAAATATTGTGGTTTCAATGCTTGTTAGTAACGAAATTTTATGAATTTTTGTACGCATTGCATTTAAATAGAAATATTCCCATAGTTATAGTTCAAACATTCATTCAATATTTATAAAAAAAAAAGTTGCACGAGGATGTATAACTGCTGAATAATAACAAATAAACAATTACTGACTAGAAAATTAAAAACTTTCTTCTCATAGGTCTTTTTCAACATTAAAATCTATTTAAAACAACCATTTCTAAATTACCAAACATTGCAATTATTATATTTAAAAATAGCTATACATACAAGAATTTGAACACTCCATACGAGAATATTTCTGTTATAAGTAAAATTATGCAGATTAAATTCAAACACCATCACTGGTAAATAAGGATGATCATAAATCATTTAAATTTACAACCCATTCATTTTTTCGGATCGACTGTTGAACTTTCAAGAGATCGGTATAAATATAAATAATTCACTACAGAGAAAGAAAACTGCCAACTATCTGATTTTATGTAAAAACTCAAGTTACGAAAACTTTTTAGTAAATAAGCCTCGAATCATGGACAATTTAAAAAAAAAAAAAAAAAAAAAATTAGTTA